CCATCAACCTGTAAATAGGAAGGAAAAGCAATGTACGTCCTGTTCTTTGGTGCCAAGTCCCACCGGACTCCTACACCGGCCGCTATTGGGAAAGGTTTGTCCAATGTTGTCACCATCATGAAAGCTGCCCTGAGAAAGGCCATGCAGCCATCCCTGGAGTCCCTGTAGACTGGAAGAAGCTGAAAGAGTCTGCAGGAGATCAGCAGCATCGAGATACAAGAAAAGGATGAAAAAGGTTTTGCTTCTGCTAGAACACAGGGGACTGGTCATTAGGATTGCCACCTGTCCAGGATTCACCTGGAGAGTCCGGGTTTTGAATGCTGTGTCCAGGTTTCATGGCAGCAGGAACCCGGACACAGAATGTGAGGCAGACAGGGGCAACCAAAATGAAGATTGGGGCTACAGGCCCCGCACTGAAAATAGTCTCAACTGTGATATTTACATATGAATGGGTCGCGACTCATTCTCCCAAAAATTGTCTGCGCGTCTCTAGAGAGTTCGGGTTTCACTTGAAGAAAAGGTGGCAACCCTACTGATCATGTGACGAGCTGTCATATCAGACCCCATAGCATACAGGAAGGAGGAAGTGATTGGAATGTATGTGTCAGTTTCAGCAGAGAAGCGGGACATAGAACTCTGAAAGGATTTTGTCAGATAACATTGCAATGTCTGCAAATGACCCAGAAAGAACAACAGACAAACCTCTAAATACCCAGATACAATGCATAGAAGGGAGCTGCTTCACCTGCCGTGGGATTTGTATTTCAGTCCTGTTTAGCAGGAGAGGGGACTTGATCTTTCTCAGGTGCAGTTTCACTTTCACTTACAGCCCCCGTCACCTTGTGACTGGACCTTTGAAAGGACAAGCAGCACATTCCATTGGCACCTCCTATCACTCTGCTCTCTCCTCCTATCAGCGCGGTTCTCTGTTATTATACACCCTAGCCCAAAATAAGGACTTAACCCTTGCAGTGCAGGTTTAGCCCCACCCAGTGTCATTTAATTTTTTACATGCCCGGAGTTGTTCTTTAAAGTAATGCCCTCGGCTATGTGGGTGCAGGATGAAGGGCGGAGGGAAATAGGTCTCCTGCGGAGGATCCTGGGAAAGTCCAGGTCTTTGTGGCGCTATAAACAGCACATTGATGGCTGGTAATATAACTCGGAGGATATATGGCACCACACCCTGACTACACACGCTGACACAGCGAGCTGTTATACAAACACACAATGTATTTTTAGACTCTCTTTCTGGTTTACAAAAGTTGGAAATAAGAGTTTTTAGGGAAGACAGAGGAAGGTGGTGGGGGCGGGGCCAAGAAGCAGGAGGGGGGCGTAGGTGCCAGCGCCATCAGTTATAGGATTCTCTGTTAGGCCTCATTCACACGGGAATCAGCCGGCACGTACAGCTCCGTGCTGCATGCACGGCCGTACCGAGCAGCTCCCGGGAAGGACAGGTACTGCGTGTGATTTGTGTGCAGCCCCTGCCCTTCTCTATGGGGCTACGCGCGGCCATACGCCCCCTACACTCACCTGCCATGCACGTCCGTACGGGTGTGGGTGTCCGTACTCATGCGCTGACAGGATGGATCCTGTCTGCGTCCGAGCCGGGACACCCACACCCGTACGGACGTGCATTTGGGGTGAGCATAGGAGGGCGTATGGCCGCGCGTAGCCCCATAGAGAAGAGCAAGGGCTGCACACGAATCACACGCAGTACCTGTCCTTCCCGGGAGCTGCTCGGTACGGCCGTGCATGCAGCACGGAGCTGTACGTGCCGGCTGATTCCCGTGTGAATGAGGTCAAAAAGTGAACATTTCATCTTTTGGGGGTTTTGCATTTATTTTGGATTTACATGTGAAAAATTATCAACATTAAAAAATATATCTGAACCCCAAAAATGTAACATGTTGCAGCGGACCAGTCCTTAGATGTGGCGGCCGCATTCATTTTCCTTTTTTCAGAACATTTTTAGCAAGTACAGAAAATACCTGCTGATCCTGCCAGAAATCCACTTCCTCTGAGCTGGACCCCTGCCTAGGATGGCACCACTGATCTTCCATAAGTACAGCGAGTGATCGTTGTCACCCCAGGATAGGAAGTGTGTCATTGGCAGGATCACCAGCAGGAAGATAAAAATAATATCCCTGCCTAATCAACTTCTGTGCGGCGCAGGGATATGATTGCCATTCACTTTGGAGAAGAAGATACAATTCGGAGATCTTCTGAACGGGGCAATATTTAGATACTGGTTTTGGCTCTTTGCATGAAAAATGAAAAGCTGGAAAATACAACCCAGCTTACTGTAAGTCAGGGGTAGGCAACCTCAGCACTCCAACTGTTGTGGAACTACAAGTCCAGGAGGCATTGCAAGACTCTCACAGCCACAGGCATGACTCCCAGAGGCAGAGGCATGATGAGATTCGAAGTTTCAGCACAGCTGGAGTAGCAAGGTTGCCTACCCCTGCCATAAGTAAATGAGATTTAGTTTGCTAAAGCACTGTGTATCATAAACAGCTGCCACCTTTTTTTTCACCAAATTTTTCGGATCTCAGTGCCCCTGATCTCCTAAAGCCTCTTTCGGCCACTTCCTGTTCATCCTGCTGAGCTCCTGGCAACCAGTGGTGTCTTTGGTTGCCAGGAGCCCGGCGGTACACTGGTAAGAGCATCCCAGGTTACTAAGAGCTGGGCAGAGAGATATGTATGGCCCTTACACATCTCCCCGCCTGACATTTAGCAACTCTGGCTAGAAAGGGGGCGGCAGGCACACTGCAAACATTTTGCAACTGGGGTGGCCAGGCTGCTCTGCCTGTTGCCCCCCCTCCCCCCCACATGGGATGGTGCATGAGGCAAGAGCCTCAGGCTGCTTCATTATAGGAACATTTTCTTTACAATTTGTAATTTTGTATGCAGTATTGTAATACCTGCTTATGGCCACTAGATGGAGCTGAAGAGCATATGAAATAAATACTACTTTCCTATACTCCTCAGCTCCATCTAGTGGCCATAATGCTGTATTACATCATTACATTTGAGATGACATTAAACTTGTAAAGAAAATATACTAAGAACTAGGGATGCACCCATACCGGTTTTTCGGTATCCAGTATGAGTACCGAAAATTTATTTTTTGGGTACTCGCTGAATACCGAAAATCCCTTTAAGGAAGCCGGGTGGCGTGTAATGACTCGCCGTCTGCCTTCCTGATTAGCCGGGAGGCCGGCTCCATGCTCCCTCGTCACCAAGTGACTCGCCACCTGGCTTCCTGATATCAAAAGTTCTGGTATCGGGAGAAGCATTGGGTGTTTTTTTGCGAATGCGAGTACTCGCCCAAATACTCGGTATTGGCACCTCTGTGAATTGTTTATTAATAGACCCCGATGTTATATTTTAGAGAAAGAGCTTTTATGTTTCAAAAGCAACATTGTTATTGCTGTAAGCTATCACTTTATCTGTATTGAGCACCTAGAAGGTTCTTATCTGGATCTATAGATTTTCATTGTAACACATTAGGCAATCCGTTGATTTCAATGTAACGCAGTGTTGACGTCGCCGACTTTGCTTGCATTGATTGGCTCTTGTGATGAAAACAAAGTGGCGACAGATCTGGTATAACAAG